GCTCGACGGGGCCTCCGCCAGACCTCAGTTGCGCCGCCGCCGGACCTCAGTTGCGCCGCCGCCGCTAGCTTCTCCGGTCACATCGCTGCTGAAACTAGCCCGCCGCCGTCAATCTGGATAACTCCCCGATTCCGACTTTGTACGTAGCCGGCGTGGTGGACTTCTCCTGGCGGCCGTTTATCGATCGCCCGCCATCTCGTTGTGTCGCCACGGCCATTGTTCCCACCCTGCACGAAGACGACGACAATACCTGAAGAAAATGGGATCTGCAATTTTTTTTTTTCCGTGCAGAGCCGCAGAGCCGCGTGCTGCGGCGGCGATAGACGTTGGGCCATAAAGACAGCGGATTGGCGACCATAGCAACAGTGATGAACGTCAGGAGTGAGCTTCGGCTGATGTGAACGGGATTGGCCTATTGAAAATGTGTTTCGAATTGTGGGGTTACCTTTTGAGAATTTGATAGGTTGTAGGGACTTGATTGAAATTTTTTAAAGTTTCATTAATTTCAATTTAATACTTGAGGCAAATATGTAATATAACAAAAGATTAACTAATGCACAATATATCATGTTTTACTATAAATATTTGCGTTTAATTTTTCGAGTAATTGAATTAAGCAAAATAATTGAAATAAATTAAATTAATTAATATAAATTATTGTTTAATATTTATTATTCTAGATTATGTTTGATTAAAAAAAAAATATATTATGGAAAAAAATATATTGTGCAATCTAACAGTTATTAATATGCAATCCGTCCAACTATACGGTGCAAGATGACGATCTGTATTGTGCAGATTGAACCAACTAAACTTTTTTCTCATATATCGAGTTGAAAATGAATTAATCAGCCCATTTATTTGGTTCGGCTAACCGAAATGTCATAAACAATCAAAATAACTTGTTATTCATACTAAACTTATTTTTAACATGTTAATAATTTTATTTATTATTTTTTACATTATTTGTGGTTGAAAAATTCGAGTTTGGCCGATTTCGGTCTATATTGTGGAGTGTCATGACAAAGTGCAGCGAGTTGTTTTAAAAAGTGCAACGTTGTGTGTTAGAAAGTGCAACATGTTGATATAGAAAGTGCAGTACTGTAATTTGGATAAGTTAAAATGCTTGCGTTTTTTGTCTACGGATGATATGATTGATGTTAAATATTATGTAGATACAATTTTAGATTTATGATGTGAGATATTTAGGCGGAAGCTATCGATACTAATTGTGGATTGTATAAAGTACAATATGCTTTTTAATAATGTGCAATGTGCATTTTTATAAAGTGCATCGTGATGATATATAAAGTATCTTATAAGATCCGAGATAAATTGCGTGTATTATTATAAAACATACTTAGTATTTCATTATATTTCATTTTTTATTATTATAAAAATACACTTAATATTTATTGTTTTATTTATATAAATTTTTTGGTTAAAAAACTATAATATTTAAATGTGTATAATATATATATATATATATATATTATAATATTTTATATATTTTTTGTTCAAAATTAATAAAATTGAAAAAAGGCCCCTCAAAATTGTCTAATTCTCAAAAAGAGAGAAAAAATTAAGCCCAAATTCTAATCTTAATCGGTTAACTTTCTTCGCTCACTGCCATCTCCGATTCAATTCGTCCGACATCGGCCTCCGACGGCCATTGGTGCGGTGTTGAGGAAGTTCGGGCATAGTATGACGGCGGCGATGGAGGCTAGCAATGGCGTCTGTGTGTGTGCGTGGCGAGCCGTGTGTGTGTGTGTGTGTGTGTGTGTGTGTGTGTGTGTGTGTGTGTGTCACCGGTGGCGGGGGCGATGGCGGCGGTGAGCGGGCGGTGAAGGGATGTGTGTAGAGCCGTGACTCAGTGTGTGTCGACGGTGGCAGGGGGCGACGACGGCGGTGAACAGGCGGACTGCAGTGACCGTGTGTGTGTGCGTTGTGTGAGAGAGAAAGAGAGAGAGCGAGCAGAGGGGCTGTGACGGCGGCGGACGGGCGGTTGTTGATGGTGACTGTGTGTGTGTGTGTTTTTCGATTTCTGTGTGTATGTTTATCGATTTCTCTATGTGAGTTTTCAGATTTTTGTTGCGTCTGTGACAGGGAGAGAGAAAATAGGGTGGGTGGGTGGATGGTATAAATTGGCAGTATATTATTGTGTAAAGGGGCCCACCTCTTTATGTGTGGTGTGAAAATTACTACAATACCCTTAATGAAGGTATAATTTTGACTGTTTATTAGATCATTAGATCATTCAATTCAATGACCATGATTCATTCTCATTTCTTTCATTGAGAACCATTCTCTTGTGAACCCAACCATATATATATATATATATATATATATATGTATATACATATATATATATTTATATATATATATATAGGGGGAGGATCCAATGAGTCCACTCCTTAAAATGAGTCCACTCCTTAAAATGAGTCCACTCCTTAAAATGAGTACATTCCTTAAAATATATATTAATTAAATAATAAAATAATTATTAGTTGACTCCGGCGTTGAACGTTGACTTCCGGCGTTGACCGTTGACTTCCGGCGAAAAATCATTGACTTTAGCCGTTGACCGTTGACTTCCGAAGTTGACTCCGACGTTGACTGTTGACTTCCGGCGTTGACCCGTTGACCCCTAGTATGCATTATATGTATGAAGTAAATATGCATTCAGTACCATAGATTCAATATGAACTAAATATGCATGGGATATGAATTGCACATGCACTTCTTATGAACTAAATATGCACCAATAATATCAATTAAGTATGCACCTATTATGAACTAAATATGCATCTGTTATGAACTAAATATGCATCATGAATGAACTAAATATGCAGCGAAAAATATGCAATAAAATGTGCATTTCATATAGGTAATTTATGATGCATATTTAGTTAATTTTTTATGAATATTTAGGTAATTTATGATGCATATTTAGTTAATACGAAATGCATATTTGTTATATTTAAATTAAATATATAATAATATTTGTATAATTAATTATTATGCATATTTACTTAATTCATGATACATATTTTAGTTGTTACGAAATGCATATTTAGTTCATGAACAGTGCATACCTATTTTATTTGAGATCCAATCATAACAATTTATTTGTGTTATTAATCAATTTAAAATTAAAATTAATTATATAATAAAAAATCATTAATTATTATATTTAATTTAATTGTATAAAATGTATATTTTATTGCATATTTTCGTTGCATATTTAGTTCATTCCTGATGCATATTTAGTTAGTAAAATGTGCATATTTAGTACATAAACAGTGCATACATAGTTGATATTATTGCTGCATATTTAGTTCATAAGGATGACATATATAACTCATTTCTTATGCATATTTAGTTCATACTAAGTGCATAGTACTGTATGCATATTTACTTCATACAAAATGTAGACTAGGGGTCAACGGTCAACGCCGGATGTCAACGGTCAACGCCAAAGTCAACGCCGGAAGTCAACGATCAACGCCGGAAGTCAACAATTTTTTGCCGGAAGTCAACGGTCAACGACGGAAGTCAACGGTCAACGCCGAAGTCAATGGTCAATTGTCAAAATAATATTTAAATAATTAAAATAATAAAAATAAAGAATTAAGTAATAAAAATAAAGAATTATTATTTAAATGAAGAGTTAAATCTTGGCCACACATCATGTAACAATCTAGTGGCTAGGAATGGGGTCTCACATTCACACTTTAAATATGTGTACTCATTGGATCCAATCCCTATATATATATATATATAGAAGTGCCCTCAAATGAGAATGAATCACAATGAAAGAAATAAGAATGGATTTAAACCATTGAATCTTATCACATCAATGACCATGATCAAGTCAAACTTTAATAAACAATAGTCAATCATTAATGGCAATAGAGTAAATAACTTGACATTAATTGGTTAAATTTACACATCTAAGGGCAGTTGTGTAATTTTGTACACACCCACCCCAATACGTGGAATCCACCATCTCTCACCCACACACAAAAATCACCACTCAGAAACTAGACACAGACGCCACCCCTCCCCCGCGGCAGCCGGCAGCAGCCCCGTCATAGCCGCCAGCCGACCACCATATCCGCCGGCGACACGAGCCTTGACGATCCAGATGATGCCGAATCCATCACCGTCGTAGCCACGCCGTTCACGCCTACTGCCGCCAATAGCCCCGCCACGGACAATTGCAGATCCCCATCCGCCGCGCCTCCGCCGTCCGCGCACCAGAGACGGCTGCGATACGATGTTTCCGACGGAAAACCGCCACCAGCCCTGCCGTCTCGAGGCTATAAAATCGGCATCCAGTACGCCGTCTGATGTCGAGATGCAATCGGCCTCCATCTGCACCGTCGTACCCCCGCCAGAGCACCATGTGCACCGTCCGCCGTTCGTAGAGATGAGCCACGCTGAAGTCTCAGCCCGTCGCCGCCGTAAGCCGGTCACCGCCGACTACTCCGACGCAACCCCCGTCCTCCACACCTAGCGAGAGTTACTGAATTTTGGGCTGTCGTTGCGGAGAAAAGGCCTTGCCATATGCGGTGCGGAGGGCCACGGTGATCCGTGGCAGTGGAGAGGACTCGTGCAACAGACACGGGAATTCGGGAGTTGCAGAGAGTGTTTCAGATCTGAAATTAAAAGCTTCATTTGTGCATTTGATTAGCGGAAAATTCTTCTAAAATCCCCAAACCACCAATTCATTTCCTCCTCAGTCCCCATTGCTTTTAATGTTCCTCCTCAGTCCCTATTTCTAATTTCTCTTTCCTTGTCAGTCCCCATATATATACTACCTTATTATTATTCATTATTTTTAATGGTAAAACATTGAAGCATGTACAGATCTGAAGAAAAAAAATCTTCTCCCTCATATATACTCTCTCTTTCTCGCTCATTTTTTTTAAAAAAAAATCAAATCGCCGTGATCTTTTTTTTTTCTCCCTTCCTTCCATACTCGACTCAATCGTCATATGTCTTCTTCATGGAATACGAATTGTTTCACGAGCCAAAATCGGTACCGACGAGCCCGACGCCGTCGAGAAATTGTCGTGCGGCCGCTTCATCCGTTTCGAGCAGATCCTGGCAGGGGAGCCTTCAAGGACGTCTACAGGAGCTTCGATCGGCTTACTGGAGTCGATATCGCCTGGAATCAGATCTGCCTCGGTGACCATGACGACAAAACCCTAAAAATTCCCCAAAAAATTAGGTCGTTTGTGTGCCGAGACCGTCCTGTTGAACTCCCTCTCCCACGAAAACGTCATGAGGTGCTATTCTTACTGGGTCGATTACCCGAACATGACGGTGAACCTGATAATCGAGCTTTTCTCCTCCGGGAGCCTAAAGAGGTACATGAAGAAACTCGGCGGGCTCGATTTGCAGACCATAAAGAATTAGGGTCGGCATATTCTAGAAGGCCTTCGCTACCTCCACCCAAACTCCCTGCATCGTCCACCGGGATTTAAAGTGTGACAACATATTCATCGACATCACCAGGCACCAGTGGCAAGGTGAAGATCGGAGATTTCAGACTGGCCATCAAAATGAAGTCTGCTCCGGCCACTGTCCTCGCAGGAACGCCGGAATTCATGGCCCTGAGTATTATGCCGAGGAGTACAATGAGCTCGTGGATGTGTACGCATTTGGTTTGTGTTTGATGGAGATGATGACTTTGGAGTATCCTTATTGCGAGCACGAACCCGGCCAAGATTTTCAAGAAGGTCTCGAATGGCGTGAAGTCGACTGGTCTGGAGAGAGTGAAGGATTTAAGTGAGGCATGTTATCGATAGGTGTTTGTTGTCGGCTTCTCTGAGGCCATCTGTTTTTGAGCTTTTTCTCGTCTGAGGAAAATTCAATGGAAATTCTGTAAAATATTGGAACCGGTTCATTTGGACATGAGGAAGAACAAAGCAGGGGATCAAAAGTTGGTGTGAAGATGCCTCGATTGTTTCGGGGATATCCATGTTGTACAATTCGACCAGGGGACTCAGATGTCTCGATGAATTCGAGAAATCACATTTGCTTTGTCGATTGGTGATGTGTCGAAGGATTTTTGTGTTTTCTAAACCATTTTTGTGTGGAGAATGACATGCTTCTTCTTCTAGCTGGCTATTTTTTTATAATAATTAGATTGAAGTAGGGTTCTTGACTTCTTTGTGTAAATAGGCTTCTTCGGAATTTTGAAAGTGTTGATCATTTGCAACTTATGACATATTTAGGCTTTTATGGATTCTGCAAGGGGTTTTGGAACCAAATTGTTGTCGCTTTAGATGGTCATGGATATGTTTAATTATTCAATATCTGTTTAATTTTCTAGGCTTGTCCATGTTTTGATGTCCACATTTCCAGTATTTGTCTTCCTCACGCATAATTTTATCTTGAATAAATAACAAATTGTATGCTATTCTAATTTGGTTGGATTTACAGGAAAACTATATATCTATGTTTGGTAAAATGTTATGAATGAGTTTTTACTATATGAAAAGAGTATAATGTGCTTGGATGATTATATGTGCAAATCATAGATGCAATTAAAGTTTCAACGGTTTATTGCATTGTACATAGAGTCGATTGTTTGTTGATAGTTTGAATCAGTAGAGATTGTATGGATGATTTTCAGGACACATTAGAGCCCCCACAATTAAAAAGAACATCTCTAAGAAGTCGTTTTAAAGTGGTTTTTCTCCTTCAAACTCTCGACAGTCTCCACGTGACATAGAGACTCGACGAATTAAAAAAATCAAGATTAGTAAAATGGTACAAGTTTTACAACAAATAGTACCAATAGTTCTTCTACGGAGTACATGTTTTTAATCAATTAGTACCTACATTGGTCAACGAAAACGGATAATTTAATTTTGGTCAACATTTTTGGAATTAGTACCAGCCCTAAAGTTAGATAGTACTCATTAAATGGTGTTCTAATACCAGATATCGGGTCTTTAGTACCAACTCCGACGAACATAAAAAAAAAAAAAACAAAGTTCAGTCTCAAATGATGTTTATATGACCCATTATCACTCTCACATTAGTTTATATTTGATTTAAAATGTGTTTAATTAAGTTTAATCGTAAATTGGTCACGAACATGAACAAACACTACTAATACACTTCATCTCATTGAATAATCATACATGACTACTCTTTATTCTACCTATATGCTTTAACTTCCACTATTTTTCATCGAAATCACGCGTTAACGGTCCACGTGAAAAGGTAGACATGAAGGATTAAAAAAAAACAAGATTCTTAAAATAGTACCTGTTATAGCAAAAAAAGTACCGCATCTTCTTCTACGTGGTACCTCTTTTTGATCGATTAGTACCTACTTTTGTGAACGAAAATGGATTGTTTCAATTTTGGCCAACATTTACAAAATATTGTACCATACCTAGAGTACGATAGTACCAGTTTTGTATTGTGTTGGTACCATATATTGGGTCATCAGTACCACTGGTAACGAACACATAAAACACCAAATTTTGATCTCAAATAATATTTATATGACCCATGATCACTCTCACATTAATTTATATGAGATTTAAAATATTTTTAATTGAGTTTAACCGCAAATTGGTCATGACGACACACTAATAAGAAAACACTACTAATACATTTTATTTCATTGAATGAGACACTTCATCTCATAGAATCATCATACATGACTACTCTTAATTCTACCTATATGCTTTAACTTCTACTATTTTTCATCCAAGTCACGCGTTAACGATCCACGTGAAAATGTAGACATGAAAAATTAAAAAAAAAACACGATTCTTAAAATAGTACCTGTTATAGCCAAAATAGTACCGCATTTTCTTCTACGTGGTACCTCTTTTTGACTGATTAGTACCTATTTTTGTGAACGAAAATAGATTATTTCAATTTTGGTCAACATTTACAAAAAGTAGTACCCTACTTAGAATAATATAGTACCAGTTTTGTATTGTGTTAGTACCGGATACTGGGTTATCAGTACCACTTGTAACGAACACATAAAAACACCGAATTTCGGTCTCAAATAATGTTTATATGACCCATGTTCTCTCTCACATTAGTTTATATGGGACTTAAAATATTTTTAATTGAGTTTAATCGCAAATTGGTCATGAACTCGACATACTAATGAGAAAACACTACGAATACATTTCATTTCATTGAATGAGGCACTTCATCTCATAGAATCATCATACATGACTACTCTTAGTTCTACCTATATGCTTTAACTTCCACTATTTTTTCATCCAAATCACGCTTTAACGATCCACGCGAAAAGGTAGACATGAAAGATTAAAAAACACGATTCTTAAAATAGTACATGTTATAGCCAAAATAGTACCGCATTTTCTTCTACATGGTACCTCTTTTTGATCGATTAGTACCTACTTTTGTGAACGAAAATGGATTATTTCAATTTTGGTCAACATTTACAAAAAGTAGAACCATACTTAGAATAAAATAGTACCAATTTTGTATTGTGTTAGTACTGGATATTGGGTCACCGGTACCACTTGTAACGAACACATAAAAACATCGAATTTCGGTCTCAAATGATGTTTACATGACAAATAATCACTCTCACACTGGTCTCAATGATATTTAAAATGTGTTTAATTAAGTTTAATCGCAAATTGGTCACGAACTCAACACACTAAAGAAAAAACATTATCACTTCATCCTATTAAAAGACACACTTCATATCATTGAATGATCATACATTACTACTCCAAATTCTACCTATATGTTTTAACTTCCACTATTTCTCAACCAAATCAGGCGTGAATGATGCACATGACATGGTAGACATAGAGGATTAAAGAAATCGCGATTACTAAAATGGTACCAGTTTTGACAAAAATAGTACCACTTTTTCTTCTGCGTAGTACCTGTTTTTAATCAATTAGTACATACTTTTGGTCAATGAAAATGAATTATTTCAATTTTGGTCAACATTTACAAAAAGTAATACCAGACATAGAGTAAGATAGTACCACTTTTATATTGTTGTAGAACCTGATATTAGGTGTTTAGTACCACATTAATGAACACATGAAAAAAACTGCATTTCAGTATGAAATGATATTTATATGACCCATAATCACTCTCACATTAGTTTCCATGAGATTTAAAATGTTTTTAATTAAGTTTAATCGCAAATTGGTCATGAACTCAACATACTAATGAGAAAACACTACTAATATACTTCATTTCAATGAATGACACAGTTCATTTCATAGAATCATCATACATGACTACTCCAAATTCTATCTATATGTTTTAACTTCCACTATTTTTCGTCTAAATCATGCATGAACGATCCACGTGTCATAGTAGACATGAAGGATTAGAGAAACCATGATTTTTAATATAGTACCTGTTTTAGCCATAATAGTACCGCTATTGTTCTGCGTGATACCTCTTTTTGATCGATTAGTACCTACTTTTGTGAAGAAAAATAGATTATTTCAATTTTGGTCAACATTTACAAAAAATTGTACCAGACATAGAGTAAAGTAGTACCAGTTTTACTTGTTGTAGTACCTGAGATTGGGTCTTTAGTACCACAGGTAATGAACACATAAAAAAATTGAATTTCAGTCTCAAATGATGTTTATATGACCAATAACCACTCTCACATTAGTTTCCATGAGATTTAAAATGTTTTTAATTGAGTTTAATCGTAAATTAGTCATGAACTCGATATACTAATGAGAAAGCACTACTAATACACTTCATTTCATTAAATGAAACACTTCATCTTATAGAATCATCATACATGACTACTCCAAATTCTACATATATGTTTTAACATTCACTATTTTTCATCCAAATAATGCGTGAACGATCCACGTGTCATGGTAGACATGAAGAATTAGAGAAATCACGATTCTTAAAATAGTACATGTTTTAGACAAAATAATATCGCATCTTCTTCTACGTGGTACTTCTTTTTAATCGATTAGTACCTACTTCTATGTACGAAAGTAGATTGTTTCAGTTTTGTTCAAAATTTACAAAAAGTAGTACCAGACCTAGAGTAATATAGTACCAGTTTTGTATTGTGTTATTACCGGATATTGGATCATCAGCACCACTTGTAACGAACACATAAAAACACAAAATTTCGGTCTCAAATGATGTTTATATGACACATGATCACTTCCACATTAGTTTATATGAAATTTAAAATGTTTAGAATTGAGTTTAATCGCAAATTGGTCATGAACTTGAGACACTAATGAGAAAACACTACTAATACACTTCATTTCATTGTATGACACACTTCATCTGATAGAATCATCATACCTGACTACTCAAAATTCTACCTATATGCTTTAACTTCCACTATTTTTCATCCAAATCATGCGTGAGTGATCCTCGTGTCAAGGTAGACATGAAGGATTGGAGAAATCACGATTCTTAAAATAATACATGTTTTAGAAAGAATAATACCGCATCTTCTTCTACGTGGTACTTCTTTTTGATCGATTAGCACCTACTTTGAAAATAGATTGTTTCAATTTTGGTCAACATTTACAAAAAGTAGTACCAGACCTAGTAAGATAGTACCAATTTTATATTGTGTTAGTACCGGATATTGGGTCATCAGTACCACTTGTGACGAACACATAAAAACACATAAATTGGTGAAATTCGAAGTACAAAAGGTTAATTTAAAAATTAATCCTAAGTCTATGTTTTTAATTAAATTGGTAAATATGTCAATTAATATAATTTATTAAGTCAAGAAGTAAAATTTAATTTCTATAGCCA